AACCATTTCCCCTTGTCCTGCTGTTATCTCCCCTTCCCAAGAGCTGACTCCCCTCCTGTCTGTAGGCTCCTTTGAGGTGCTGAAGGCTGCAATGATTCACCCCACAGCCTCCTCTTCTCCATGCTGAACAAGCCCAGCTCCCTCAGCCTGTCTTTGTAGTGGAGGTGCTGCAGCCCTGCTCATCTTTGTGGCTCCTCTGGACCCTCTCCAACTTCCCCCCGACATCCAACCTCAGTCTTCCCTCCTTCAACTTAAAATCATTTCCCCTTATCTTGCTATCCTGCTCATCCTGGACCTGTCTGAGTTGGAAGGGACCCTTAAAGGTCACCTGGTCCCACTCCCTGCATGAGTGAGGACACCCACAGCTCCATCAGTGCTCACAGCCCATGCCCTGACCATGGGTGCCTGCAGGGATGGGGCATCACCACTCTCACAGTGCAGTGCTTCACTGCCCTCAGTGTAAACTATTTTCTTATCAAACCTTCCTTCTTATCAATCTCCCACATTCATTTCCAGCCCTCAAAAGACATCAATGCTATTCTGTGCTTAAGGCTGAACACAAACCAAGATTTTATGGGACCCCGTTTCAGGCTCTGTTCACCACCTGTCTCTTGATTTTCCCTTCCATCCCGCAGTCCTTCACATCCCTTCTTTCTCATTCAAAGCATGATTCCATCCAGCAAGGCACCATGTCAGCAAAGCAGCCACCACCCCGCCAGCATCCCCTGAGCAAACATCATTACTTCGCTACAAGGCAGTGGGGCTGATATTTCCTAATCCCATAATTAACTTCAATCTATTTAAATATGGGGTGATGGCAACCACAGCCTCACCCAGCTGGGAGGGGTGGCTCAGATGGTCCTCTGAACACAAGGAGAGCGTTCTGCTGCTCAAGGACTGATGGAGAAACGATGCTCACAAAGCCAGGGTGACTTCTTGGATGCACACACACTGGGCTGAGCATTGGGAGCGACAGTCAGGGCTGAGCCTGGTGCAGCAGTGCCTGGGACTGCAGATATTTCAGAGCAAAAAATCTTTGAAATTGGAGGAAATTCAAAGAAAGTGGAAAAAAAAGCAGTGGGGAACGGCATCGCTTTTGTATGGGATGCCATCGGGGCTGACATTTTTGGTATGTGCAAGAAATCACTGACTGCTCCTACAGCACACGCACATGAATCAGATCTATTGTTCAGCACAGGAAACAATGCAACCTCATGCTGTGGCCAGGCTCTGTGGCCAATACTGATGTGATAAGGGAGCACAGCATGGAGTGCCAGTCAGCTCTATCAGCCCAAACCTGCAGCACACTGATGGCACTCTGCCTGTGCCAG